AGAGGCTGGTGCGTTGAGGGGGCGCCGCTGGGCCCAAGTGTGATTTTTTGAGGTGTACATAAGCAGAGGCCAGGAAGCAGGCCGGGGCAGAGAATCGCTTTGTGGGTACCACATGGGAGGGGAATGAGAAGCTAAAGCACCTTAGGCTGGACCTCAACCTGCTTGTATTGGCAGGGTCCTGACAGGAAGAACATGGCACCCCCCAGAGGGGGCTGGAGGAGAGCTGGATGAAGGGGCAATTCACCAAGGCAGCGTGGGGTTAATAAGCCACCAAGTCCTGAAGAGGCAGGAGTGGACCCCGGCCAGGCCGTGGCTACAGGAGGGGTAGCCAAGAGGAGCCGTGGCCTTTTAGAGAGACAACCACACGGGGCCTTCCAGGGCGAGCGGGAGGAATGACATCCACCTGCCCCTCCTGCTGCCCTCGGCTCACCTCTCAGGGCCTCCCGTTGGCCAAACCCAAGCCAAACTCAGCAAGCAAGAGAGCCTGGCTGCTGAGTCCGTGCAGAAGTAGGACGTGGTCGTTGCAATAATTGCTGCTAATTATCAAGTTGCTGGTTTTCAGACGTGTACTGAATCTTTGTTATTCACATTAAAGTTCGGTCACCAAGGCGGGGGGAACGGGGGGGAAGAGACTCTGAGGGGCCCATGAAGACTACAGCGAAGTGTTGAGGGGGCAGGTAACCTGGAATTCAGCACTGTTCAGAGAACCCTCTGTCCCGTGTGACCGAGCCCTGCCTGGGGCTTCTGTGGGCTCTGTCTCCCTTGCTTCACACCACCCACAGAGCGGAGCGCTGCCGTGCAGCCGCCCCTGCTAGTCTGTTCCTTGCCATCAAAATTGCCTGATGGTACAAAAATGTGAAGTAGTTTCCGCCACATTGGCACTGGGAGAGCCTGAACCAGAGTCACAGCCTTCTGGGTCTGCGGCCGTGTTCTTTTCATGATAAAGTGCAGACGCCTGAAATCAGGTTATTTGGTAGGAAGCCACTGGAGCCTTTTTAGAAAGCGGTGGTAGCATGTGCAAAGAGATATTTCAGGAAGGTTCCCCTGGTAGAACACAGAACAGGTTGGGCGGGAGAGAGACTGAATGTGGGTGTTAGCCTTTGCAATAACCATCAGGTTTTGCTCAAGGATCTGCAGCTAAGCAGCAAGGTGGTGGCGTGTGTGTGAAGGGTGAGAATCACACTGGAACGTGCCAGGCATGGCTCCGGGGGCTACTGATGGAGCAGCAAACCCGACAAATGCTGCCCTCCTGGAGCTTCTTCTGGTTGATGCTATGAGAGCAGATGAGCTCTTCAAGGGAAAGACTAGACAGTGAGCAGTGAGTGTTAGTGTGTTTGCATGGAGAGAGGGTGGGGTGAGGACAAGAAAGGACCAGGGGGGCAGTGAGCAGAGAGCCAGGAGAACAATCAGATGGTAACAAGGCACTTGAGCCAAGGAAGGAAATGTCGTTTCAAGAAGTGGTCAGTGGTGCTACCCGCTGCCCGTGAATACCAGACAGGACGCAGAAGAGGGCTCTGGCATTGACACATGGGAGCTCGGGACAGTTTAATGGAGTGAGGAGAAGCCAGCTGGTGGGAGGTCATGGAAGTCGTCCAGTTGGGACTCACAACAGAAGTTCTGCTGGGTGGGAGAGTTGGCTGCCCGACACAGCAGGGGTGACTTGCTGTGGTTACCATTCCCTAATGATTGGGCCCTCAGAGTTAGATCTCTGAAATCCTGTTTACACAGTCCAGCCAGTTCTAGGACTTAACTCATGCCAACCAAATTCATAAGAAACTGATTTCTAAACCTGCGACAGTTTGGTGGTTTTTCGATGAGTGAGATTCATTTCCAGCGATGGGCCCATTTGTGTCCATGAGCAAGGGCAGCAGCGTGAAGCCACTTGGAGGGCTGAGTTACTATTAGTCAGAAGATTGTTAGATAGTATAGAAGAGAACAAAAGGTAGGGGCGAATGCTGAGATGAACTTGGCCCAGGCCACAGTGGAAGGTGCCTCTGGGGACTGCCCTACAAGCCTCTGGCCTCTTAACCCTCCGGCCCACCAGTGCTCAGGTCTGCAACTCGGTGATCTCATCAGTATCGTGGTGCTAAGTGCTGAAAATTCCCGAATTATGTCTCCAGCCAGATCTCCCACTTGCTTGACTAATATGCCCAACTATCTACTGAGCACTCCACCTGGATCTCTAACAGACACCCCCAATTCTTTTTTTTAAAGATTTATTTATACAAGAGCCGGGGTACAGGCCAGATGTGCGGGAGGGTGAGAGGATTCACCAGAGCCAGAGCGGGGAACAGAACAGGCAGACTGACGAAATGCACTGCTGAGGGGAGCGGGCGAGACAGGCGAGGTCTGCCGCGACAAGTGGGTTTCTCCCTAGCCTGCCGGGATCAAACCCGCACTGCAGAGGCTGTGGACAGCTTCACAGTGCGGCACTCAATCAGGGAGACCCCAGAACCCCCAATTCTCGGTGTCCCACACAGAACCCTGGCTCTCCCCTCTCAGACCTGTGACGTCCATAGCCTTCCTGGCTAGCTGATGACAACTCTACTTTCTAGTCACTCGGGTCCAGTGCTGGAGTCCTCCTGCTGCCTGCTTTTCATCAGACAGCTCTGCTGACTTTCCCCAAATATAAGACCCGACCAACCTCCACTGCTGTTAGCTGCCGCCACCTTGCTTAGGTTATCGCTTTACCACAGCTCCCAACCAGAAGCAGAAACCTAAGTCAGATCATATCACTCACTCCTCAGTTCAAAACCTTCACTGGCTCCCCAGTGCAAGGAACCCCCACCTCTCTGGCTTCACCTCAAGCCCATGTTCACTCTGCTTTGGGCTTCCGAGATTCCATGAGGCCCAGCAAACACACTCCTGCTTGGGCCTGGGAGGCTCTGGAAGGTCTGCCGCCAGCTGCTCACTTGACTCCCGCCCTCGCTGCTTCAGGAGTTTTGCTCAAGTCTCAGCGAGGCGTCCCCCTGTCTGAGTTGGGGCTCCAGTGCCCGTCCTCATACCCTCCCCCCAGTGTTCTTTGCACTGTCTCTACCACCCTCTAATTTCTCACGTGCTCTGTGACTTATTGATTCAGGGCAGTCTTCTCCCCACCAGAATGGGAGCTTCTCGCTGGCGGGGAGCAGGCTCTGCTCGCTCTGTGTCCACAGTACCCAGAAAGGGGACCCAACAATAACTGTTGAATGAATGAGTGAATAAATGAGTGAATGAATGAATGAAGTGCCAGAGTTACCTCTCCAGCAGCCCAAATACCTTGTCAAGCCCAGAAAGTGTCTTCTGTTCCTGGGTCTTGCTGGACAGACCCCCACACCATGCATGGCCCTGTGCCCCCACTTTCTCCACGCTTGTATTGTCAGGGTGTGAGTGGGGAGCTAAGGGGAGGTTCAGAGTTTCCTGTCAGTCACAACACCCTTACACCTGACCGAGGGTACACAGGCAGAGCTCTCTGTGGCTTTGGTTGTTCGGGCACATTCCAGAGGAGACTCTCCAGCGGCATTCCTAAGGGACCCTGCTCCCCAACTGACCGCATGTGATTGTTTTCGCAAGGATCTGCATCAGCTGGAAGGCAGAGGCAGTGAGAGAAGGGGGTGGAAGGAAGACAGTGAGAGGAACAAGGTGTCAGGACCACAGACAGCAATGGCCTGAAGCAGGGACCAGGGGAGGCAGAACGAGAACCCTCTGCTCCTCTTCAGTGCCTGATAAGGGGAGCCCATGAGAGCAGTCAGCAGCAACGTGAGCCTGGGGCCTGCAGGGGTGTGAGCGCCTGGCTGTTCCAGGGAAATTCTTCTGCCACTTTCACTGCACATCACATTAGCAAAATCTGCCAAATGTCAGGATATGTGCTATTCCCCATAGAAGCCTCTCGAGAGCTCCACACCCCGAAGACCAAATGCATATGAAAATATAGCTGGAGACAGCGAGGGACTGTTCCCTGTTCACTGAACTTGGCACAGGAAGTAGAAACAAGTCCTGGTTTCCAGTTGCTTCTCCCAGGTTGAAAGAACAAAAATAGGGCATAAAATCAAGGCTGTAAGATCACTGTGACCCTCGGCACTGGCCTTGCCCCCCCACGTTTCTGAAGGAAGTGAGGTTGAGTTGCCCCTTACACTTGCAATGCCTGGGGCTGTTCCACTGGCTCCGGGCTTCCCGGGAGTGGGCAGCTGTCAGAGAACAAACTTTTACACATGACCGTCACTGCCTCTTGACGGACAGCCCCATTCTTTTTCCAAGTCTGTAGGAACAAGGGATGCTCTCTGCACCATCTCTAGTTCTTCTGAAGTCTGTGACCCAAAGGGGCTAAGTGTCTCATCCAAATGATCCCAGCTCCGAAGGAACCTCTGGGGATGAGTCTTGCCCTCTCTGCTCTGCGCCACCACTTCCATGCAGGCCCCCAGGACTAGCAGCTGGCAAACCCCAGTCCTGATTGAGCCAAAATGGACTGTTTATGATGGGGCTCTGCTGTTCCTGGCCCCCTGACATTTCAGTGGAGGCTGTGTTAGCAAGGAGAAGACATGGGGTATGGCCCTGGATCCCCACATAAGTGAAGGAGAGAAGGAGCAGAGCCTTGTTCCTGAGGGCAAGGTGCAGGGCGGGGCCCTAGAATTTGGGGGTGACATGCTGCCCAGGCCCAGAGGCTTGGCAACACTCGCCAAACCCTGCACAGAGGCCAGGCTCCCGGGAGGAATGGCAGGGAGCCAGGTGTAACTGCCCCCTCAAATGGCCCCAGGCTCAGGGCAGAGAAACCAGGAACTAGGCAAAACCTGGTGACCCTTTGTGACCAGGGAGAACAAAGGGAATCCCCAGGTGCCAGGTGCCTTCCCACAAGGGTTTACTTTGCACAACTCCTGCATTGGCAAAGGGTCAGGTGAAAGGTGTAGTTACATTCTCTCCCGAGGAGGCACCTCCTAGAGCCATCAGAACACCCAGAGGCAGACATGTACACCTTCTGTAGCTTATCCGGAGACGTCCTTAAGTGTGACCCCGATGGGGTGGAGATTTCCAACACAGCTGACTCACTGTTAACGCAATCATCTGTTTTATTTTAAAACATGTCCACTCTGCATTGAGCATCAACACAGACCAGACCAGAAACCCACACTCCTGTCCCAGCAGGCGGGGGTCGGTGCATGATTGGGGGTGATGGCTGCTTCCACAGGGAGAGGAAGGCAGACGGAGGAAGACAGACATTGCGTGTTCTTCCTAACTCCTGCTCAGGAATCCCAGGGAGGAAACACGAGGATATTTAAGCTCCTACAGCAATTCTAACCCCCTGTCTCAACCAGTGACATTCAAACAAGGAACCTGGGCCGATGGGCGTGAACAGCACAAGACGGCGCTGTTTAAAGTAACATCCAGGCCGAGGAATGGTCTGTGCTTTCTGTCTGGTGTTTAGTTCCTCCTGTTCTATGAGCTCATAGAGTGGAAGGCTGGCAGAATGCAAAGCCTCACCAGGACAGAGTATCTGCTCAGTTTTAGGGTTTGCTCTTTTTTTTTAAGGAAAAAAAGTCTTTTTCCTAAGTCTTTTTTTGCTTAGGATAAAGACTAAGCTACGGGAAGAAATGTACACTGAGCCGGATGGCGCCAATACAGAGAGGCACGTGGTCTCCTTTATTTTCATCTTTTTAGTTATGACTCCACAGAAATATGTATAGGGTTTAGCCTTTAGACTGGGAATACTTTGCATTTTCAAACCAAGTCTTTAAATCCAGCTATTTTTATAAAATTTGCATTTTATCAAATTATTTTTACATCCCTTGTCCTTCCTCTGTGGCAGAAAGTATAAGTTCTGTCCCCCTGCCCAGAGGCACATGGGGTCTCTGTGTGGGACACTGCGGTTCTGGGTTTCTGGAACACCTGAGCCTCTGGCACTGCTGAACCTCCAGCGGCCTCCAAGGCACCCGGGATGAGATTTCCACATTCCAGAACAAAGCAGCGAATTGGAAGGACTTGCCTCCTAGGAGAGAGGGAAGGCCACCCCCTTGGCTCCCCATGATGTGGAGGGTGTGGAAGGGCAGGTGGGAGCAAACCCCCAAGTCAGCAAGGCATCCGGGGAGCAGGCAGTGAAGCCACCTAGGCCCTGTTGTAAGAAACCAAGTGTCTTCTCCGAAGTAGACACCTCCTGTTTATGTCTAAGATGGATGCTTTTGAGATTATTTATCTGGGCCAGCCAAAGGCAAGGGCTCATTACATATTAGCCAAGTTGAGACACTACTTGACTATTCACACCCTATTAGGCTTTTAAAATAGACCAAAGGACACAGGAATGTGTACATTTCAACAGATCTGAAACTGCAAAATATTCACCCCACATATTGGCAAAGCACTAGATCCCAGGACTCCATGGGTGTCATTATTTCCAGATTCCTTTGCGTTTTAAAGTCACAGAGAGTCAGAATGAAGGCAGGATTATGGCTTCTAACACTGCACTGTCTATCTCAGCTAGAAGTCAGTTTCTATAGTTTGCTCCACTTTCTATGCATGTTGTCTTTTAAGTCACCTTTTACAAAATTTGTATTTAAAAAACTTTTCATAAAACACATGCACAGAGGAGCAAGTCTTGTGAACTAGTTTTCCTTCGGTCACTTCCGGCAGACGGAGGAATCACTATGGATTTGGAATGCGGTGGCCAGGCGTTTCCACGGGTCACCTTCTTCCACACACTCGGGGGTGGGGGGGTGGAAAACTCTCTTTTTCAAAAACATGTTGGCAGAAGGGCACGATTCTTCAACTCTTTAGGGCCTGAGAAAACAAAGAGAAAGGTGACTGTCATTTCTCTTAGGGACCTTGTGGTTCAATTCCCGTGAGCCATAGTTCTTATTGTTCTTATGTCAAAGTCTTCCAGTTTGAGAACCTGGAAGTATTGTCTTCACCTCCTCTCCCCCCTCCCTGCCTGGTCCTCCCAGCACCAGATCCCCAGGCATCTCCAAGTCCATGACCATAAGGTCAATCGTGACCTTCAACTCTCAGTTGCATAAAATCAGTCCTCTCGCCCAACACTCCCATCAAATATCATCTCTCTAACAGATATGAGGAATGTTACCCTCTGGCTATGAAACGGAATATTCTGAATTCTTAAGGAATTTGAATAAAGACAAAGCATCCCTGTCCCTCATCCTTCAGGATGGAGGGAGGGGTCTAAATGAAGAGGTCCACCCCCAGGGAGCCCCTGTTCAGAACAGGAGCAGATGCTGGTCTGGAAGCCACCTACCTCCCTGCACTGGGAGCAGAGAGATTAGGTATCAAGTTAAAACATGGTTGGGATTTTCTCTTCCAGTTCAGTTAGTTGGAAAATTAAAGTAAAGGTCATCTTTGTTCAGATCTCAACAGAAGTTAACTAAAAAGCCATCCCTGGCCGACTCTTCTTGGAAATGTGCAAGGCCCAAGGGGACACCTGTTCTTCTGGGGTTCAGGGACTTCTGAACATGACCTTTACTTAGAGGTGTCGTAGTTCACAGTTTGCACTCCAGAAATGGCCGCCTTCACTTCCTATCATGGGGGGTAAGGAATTTACTTACGAGTACCTTCCCGACATTTTCCTCACGACCACAAGGATGATTCCGCCAACGAAGCCAATGGAGAGTAAGACCCCAACTATGATTCCAACCAGGGTCACTGTCGCCAAGCCATCTACATGCCAGGAGGAAAACATGAGCCCCAGATAAACATACTTGGGTCATTTATAAACACACCACCACCGTGCTCAGTGGCACGACATCTCTATTGCTTCCCTGCACCAAGTGGGAGCTGACTTAGCTGAGAAGACACTTTGAGTCATTCTAATCCATCCTATGAAGGGAGAGATTTGGGGAACTCAAGATCTGTCCAGCGTACAACTCATCCGGGGTGGGGGGAGCTTTATCACTAATTATTGGGTAGCGTTTGTGTCCAGCTATTTAATTATTTTTATTCTCTTTCTTCGTAACAATAAGTTGTGACACGCCACCATTCTGTCTCTCACTAAGTGAACAGACTCCTTTATGCTTTGCTTAATTTCAAATACAAATGATTCCCTTTTGTCTCTTCAAAGAGACTTGAGACCTGTTCTCAGAGGTTTTTATGTTCTGCTTCTGCTGACTGCAACCCAGGAAAGAATGTAATTCATCACAAACATTAAGTTCAAAGAAATTTTTTTGAACCACCATAAGGATATTTTGATACCAAAATCCAGCCTACCTTTCTCAATTGTGACCTCTGTCTCTTTACTCACTCCCTCTGCAAAGAAAGAGATGTAATGATATAGAATTAATAGGATTTAATAACTATAATTTAACAATTGGCAAAAGATGAGTTTACCCTAAGTGGAAGGTAGCAAGACACAAGCTTAGAGGATAATTTCATAAATAAGCTGGATCAGGGGATTTTTCAGCAAGCTCCAGCATGATCTTGTCTTCAAAACTATTATTATTGAATAGTTTTTCACACTGATGGGTCCACAGTGCTTTTTGTGTATATTCTTTTTTTCTCATCCACTATAGAGGCAGAGTCAAGGAAATTGAGCCATAGAGATCGTAAATAAATGGTCACAAACTTTTAGCAGTTAGGGTAACAAAAGAATTCAAGGCTGTTGAGTCTAGGTCCAATGAGAAGGTCATGGAAAACTCATCAAGTGTTTTAAAGGCTTTTCATTTAGTGCTCTAGTTCTGAAAGGTGTGACCAAGAAGATGAGTTGTCTCAGAATACCCATTCTCTGCTTTATCTTAAGTAACAAAATCCACACTTTATAGGTAGCCACATACCCAGATAGTTTAACGAGAGAACATATATACCCATTGATTTGCACCACTGTGATTTTAGGATTTCTATTTGCAACCAAAGCTAATCCAATAGTTAGAACATGAATATTTTCATTTACCTATCACATGGGTATAAATTAGTTACTTATGAGTACATGCTGGGAAGTAATAAAATTATAAGTTTCCTTATAATAATTTTACACAGGGCCTCCCTGGTGGCACAAGGGGTTAAGATGCAACCTATGAAGCTATCCACAGCCACTGTACACAAGTTTGATACCCAGCCAGGGAGCTGACCCACATGATGCAGCAGACCTCTCCTGTCTCACCCGCTACCCCCGCACAGTGACCAAGTATAGTGATGATTCTTTCTCTGCCCAGGTGCGTCCTCTCTGGGGTTTAAATGTTAACCATTTCTTTTGCATCTTAGAGTGACCATCAGGCTTTATTTTCTTTTTCTTTTTTTTAAAGATTTATTTATTTATTTATACAAGAACCGGGGTACAAGTCAGACCCGCGAGAGGGTGAGAGGATTCACCAGAGACAGAGCAGGGAACAGAACAGACAGACTGACTGAAATACACTGCTGAGGGGAGCAGCGGGCGTGACAGGAGAGGTCTGCGCACCATGTGGGACCCTCGCCGGAGGCTGGGGATTGAACTGGCACTTCAAAGGCTGCGAACAGCTTCACAGCGTGGTGCTCAACCGCCTGTGCCACAAGGGGAAGCCCAGGCTTTATTTTCAAAGCACTTTATGAAGGTTTTTTTCCCCCCTTCATAGGTAAAATACATAGAACACAAAATTAATTTATTTTTCACCATCTGTAAGGCACAGTTCGACGGTATTGAGTACATTGTACAACCATCATTAGCACCCAACCCCAGAATGCTCTTCTTGTAGAACTGACATCCCATATTCGTGGCCACAAGGGAGGCTGGAATGCAGCCATTTTCAACCAAAGGGAGGGAATTTAAAAAAAATTGCATGTAGCAAGACAAGCCAGAATGATAAAAACAAATACTGGATGTCCATCTAGCAGCCAGTTGGACAACACAAAACATTTGCAAAGACTATTAGACTACAACAAATATCCTGAGGTTAACCTCAATAACTCTGAGGTCAAGGGCAGGGGAAGGGACAAGAGGACCCAAGGGACAGTGGGAAAAAAAAACAATTAAAATTGCTATAATTCAAAAACCCAGGGGCTCCCTGGTGGTGTAAGGGGTTTAGATGCAGCCTATGAACCTATCCGCAGCCTCTGCACCACAAGTTCAGTCCCCAGCCAGGAAGCAATCCACATGGCACAGCAGACCTCTCCTGACTCGCCTGCTGTTCCCCTCAGCAGTGTATTTCAGTAGATCTGCCTGTTCTGCTCCCTACTCTGTCTCTGGTGAATCCTCTCATCCCCCACACCTCTGGCCTGTACCCTAGTTCTTGTAAATAAATAAATAAATCTTTAAAAAAAAAAAACCAACAAACAAGTTGGATAGAGGAAAAAGGGGGAAAAAGTGATATTATTATTTTTGTGTTGATATAAGAGCTATGGACTTGTACAAATAACAGCTTGAGATTTTTTCAATTGCCCCTAAAAGCATGCGGTCCCTACTAGATCTGGAGACAGAAAAATCCAGAAAAAGAAAAGACAGGGGTCAAAGTCATCTCTGCTAACATTTTGGCTTGTTTTTGTTTTCCCAGACTCAGGGATATAAGTTGTAAATACAGTGACAACAACACTGTTTTAAACAAAAAGATCAGATAATCTTCCCTACATCATGGGATGTCAGAATCATGAAATCACTCTCTAGAAGCAACCTTAGAGATTACCTAGTATGTGCCCCAGTGCAAGACTCAGAAAGCAAAGTAAAACATAAGAAAGAAGGAAAAACTGACACTGTAAATGTTAAACAACAACCCTCCCTGTAGCTGAGGGTCAGCAACATGACACCAGTTGCACTTCACTTGCCCTTTCGGGGCCATTATCCCTAGTCGTCACTTGAGGTAGAGGGCAGTGATCAACACCCCAATAAATCAGATGTGAAACCTGTTACAGAAAGCATGGTTCAGAATGTGCTCTTGCGCTCCAATACATGCCCCATTGATTATTATGCTTGCTCAAGGATTATTATGTTTGCTCAAGTCCCCCCACTAGGAAATTCATTTTCTTACCCATGGAGTGACTAGTGGTCACGCTTGGGGAGCTGGTGCTCGGGCTCTTGTCCTGGTCAGGGGCAGTGCTTTCTGCAGTTGGCAGGTCCTCAATGTGCACGTCTGTTACACTCTCTGCCCCTGTTGACACCTATAGGAGATGCAACGAGGCACAATAGAAATAAACATAATGTTTTGAAATAGATGCTCTGCTTTCAGAAGACAAGGATTAAGGTAGCACTAATATGTAAAATAGACGACATAAATTTAAAGTAGAAACAAGAAAGCAAATAAAAAACAAGAAAGCAAATAAGAATGGTGACAGGAATAAAACCAAGTCTACTCCAGAAACAAATGCCAAAGGCTTAGTATGCTAACCTCCTAGGAGCTTGATTCTTCAACAAATACTGGATCACAAAGTTTTCATTTTTTTCCCTCTCTTGAACTTGAATAGCACTTTTTGCCTGTAACATTTCTTTGATACCTATTATGCTGCATTAATCCTTTAATGGCTTTCCTTCCCAATTAGAGTAATAACTAGCCTTTACTGGGAGGTTATTATGTGCCAGACTCTTTAAATACCCCATACAACCCTATGAAGTAGATGCTATTATTAGTCCTATAGTATGAACACACTTTAAGAGGCCAGATGATATGCCCAAGTTCACAGTCAAGAGCAAGCAACAGAGCAAAACTTGGAGTAATTCTCCTAATGGCAAAGTTGATGCCAACGTAGCATTCACCAGCTATGCCAGCACGCACAGGCAGCAAAAGCAAAAACAGATGAATGTGAGCACATCAACCTTAAAAACTTTGAGCAACCATGGACATAAGCCACAGAGTGAAGAGGCAGCCTGTGGAATGGGAGGACAAAAATAGCAAAACTATATCTCATAAAGTAAAAGTGCTCCTACAACTCAGCAATAAAATATCAAATACCTTTCGGCCAGAACCGCCATCTTCCAGTAAGTTGCCAAAATGACTAACACAAAGGGAAAGAGAAGAGGGACCCGCTATATGTTCTTTAGGCCTTTTAGAAAACATGGAGTTGTTTCTTTGGCCACATACATGCGAATCTATAAGAAAGGTGATATTGTTGACATCAAGGGGATGGGCACTGTTCAAAAAGGAATGCCCCACAAATGTTACCATGGCAAAACCGGAAGAGTCTATAATGTTACCCAACATGCAGTTGGCATTGTTGTAAACAAGCAAGTAAAGGGCAAGATTCTTGCAAAGAGAATTAATGTTCGTATTGAGCACTCTAAGAGCCGAGATAGCTTCCTGAAACGTGTGAAAGAAAATGATCAGAAGAAAAAGGGTACTTGGGTTCAGCAGAAGCGCCAGCCTGCTCCACCTAGAGAAGCATACTTTGTGAGAACCAATGGGAAGGAGCCTGAGCTGCTAGAACCTATTCCCTATGAATTCATGGCATGATAGGTGTGCAAAAAGAAATAAAAGAGCTCTGGACTACAAAAAAAATAAAATAAAAAAAATCAAATAATCTTATAAAAAATGAGCAAACAAAGAGGAGTGGATTAGAAAAATGCAGTATGCATACACACGATGGGATACTATTCAGCTAGAAGGAAAGATGAACTCTTGTCATTTGTGTTAACATGGATGGAATTGAAGGGGATGATGCTACGTAAAATAAGAGAGAAGGAGAAAAACAAATACCTATGGTTTTACTTATATGTGGAATATAAAGATACAAAATAAAGGGTCAGACAGAACCAAACCAATAACAAGCCCTAGAGCCTCCCTGGTGGCCCAGAGGTTGAGTCTCAGTGCTATCACTACTGCAGCACGAGTTCAATCCCCAGCCAGGGAGTTGACCTACAAGGCGCAGCAGACCTCTCCTGTCTCCCCGCTGCTCCCCTCAGCAGTGGATTTTAGTAGATCCATCTGTTCTCCCCATTCTGTCTCTGGTGAATCTTTTCACCCCCACACCTCTGGCCCGCACCCCAGTTCTTCTATGCATAAATAAATAAATCTTTTAAAAATAAATAAATAACAAGCCCTAGAAATCTGACTATGGAATTGAAGCTACCAGATAGGGAGAGGGAGGAGGGAAAACAAAGTTTTCCTACAACTTTCCAAAACAAACCAAAGCTACCATATGGGGAGGGGGCACAATGGACTATGGTGGGTGGAACCGAAGGTGCTGTGGTGGTCAGGGAGGTGTGACATGCATCTGAGATGTGCTTTATGCTTTAGAATCACATACCGTGTTGTAAACCAGCATTACCTCAATAAAGACATTCTTAAAGACAAAAAGTTAAATACATGGTGGAATCCAAAGAGAGCTTAAAAATGTCAAATAACATTTTTTATTGTTATATGTTGAAATGATAATATTGGGGGTATACTGAGCTCAATCAAATATTATTAAAATTAATTTCATCTAAAAAAATGGGCAAAGGACTTGAGTAGACATTTCCCCAAGGATGATAAACAATGGCCAAGAAACACATGAAAGATGCTTAACATCACTGATCATCCAACAAATGGAAATCAAAACCATTAGACTATTGCCTTACGCTGCTGGGATGCCGACAATCAAAAGAACAGAAAATAATGTGTCAAGGATATGGAGAAATTGGAACCACTGTGCACTCTTGGTATCATCAAAATCAGAGCAAAAGTAGACTGGTCATCACCAGGGGCTGGAAGGAGGTCGGAGGGAGAGTGGCATAAGGTCAGAGAGGTGGCCAGGAGCCTCAGTTCCGTGTTACTAACTAAATTATAAGCTCCTCAGGGTGGAAGGTGTGGCTTCACACCTCCTCGGTGTCTCCTTGTGCCTGGCATCCTGTGTTGCCCAAGTGGGCGCTTGAGGCACGTGAATTGATTAGAATTCACGAGGTTAGGAAGTGTCTGCTGAGACTGTCAGTCTACACCAGCATGGTCTGTGGATGGGCTACAGTCCTTGTTTATTACAAATCTCCAACAAGGCAGGAATTTGCAAAGACGTATTTAGGAACTTTCAAAGCATCGATGGATGCTTGGATGCAACATCCAAGATTTTTATTGTATTGAAAATTGGGCTGTAACAGATTGGGCATTTTAAAGCTTACATCCTTGCCACTTTGCATATTCTTAAATCCTCTGTGGTGAGCATACCAGCTGCTGCTAAATAGCTTCTGTTCTAAGCTATATAACAATTTCTTTTGTGCAGTGGCTCACGCTAAATGTACTTATATTTGTTGATAAAATTCTTATCCATCAACCCACTTACCATCTATGTATCCAACCAACCTTCCATGCATCCATCCATCATCCATGCATCCAATCATCCATCCATCCATCCCTCCACCCAACCACTTACCATCCATCCATCCATCCACCCAACCACTTACCATCCATCCATCCATCCATCCATCCATCCATCCATCCATCCATCTTCTTGCATGTGCTCACATGCCTATAGAGCAAAATCCTCTTTTCCCAGGACACTCACCAGACCTGTGGCGCTAGTAGACTCATAAGGCTCTTCAACAGTACTGGGTGTCAGAATGTTATCTTCCATACCTGGGGTCACCAAGCCATCTTCTATACTTGGAGTTAAAACGTCATCCTCTGGCCGCACAGTGATGGCTGAAGAAGAAAGGCAAAGTTAGGGCTTAAGGTAGAAATCATGTGGGCAGACCTGACTGGCCAGTGACAATCAGATCACTTTCTTTTCTATTTCGTATGGAGAATTTTTTTTGGTGGGGTGTGATTTTTCCATCCTACAACAAACCATTTTCCTTGGCCTGGTTCATACAATGATCTGGTTTTCTCCATTGCGAAAAGAAGGAACATGGAAATACAAGGGGGTAAAGCAACCAGCCCCTCCCGGACACCCCACAAGAGATACAGACCTTTCCTTTTCCATAATGAACCAGAGTCTTCCTTGTGCCGTTTCATACGATGAACCAATACATTAGGGTTAACAGAATATCATCTGTGGTTGGTATTTCTTTTTTTTTTAAGATTTATTTATGTATGCATACAAGAACTGGGGTACAGGCCAGAGGTGCAGGGGGCGAGAGGATTCACCAGAGACAGAGCGGAGAACAGAACAGGCAGACTGACTGAAATACACTGCTGAGGGGAGCAGCAGGCGAGACAGGAGAGGTCTGCTGTGCCATGTGGGTAGCTCCCTGGCTGGCCGAGGATTGAACTTGTGCTGCAGTGGCTGCAGATAGCTTTACAGTGTTGTGTTTAATGCCTTGCGCCACCAGGGAAGCCCCTGTGACTGGTATTTCTAAAAACATCAGTCTGCAGGCTCTATCTCAAACCAACTGAATCAGAATGTGCAAAAGTGAGTTTTCCATCTTTCTAAATCATGCTCACTCGTCATCACTTCAAGCCTGCCGCTGACTTGAATGACCAGAACTGTTGGTTTTGATCACAGACCTTGTCAATTACTTAGAGTTCTTGTTTTAAAGTTGGGGTGAACATCAGTAATAATCTTTTTTTTTAAAAGATTTATTTATTTATACAAGCACTGGGTACAGTCAGAAGCGCAGGAGGGTGAGAGAATTCACCAGAGCCAGAGCGGGGAGCAGAGCAGGCAGAAGGACCGAAGTACACTGCTGAGGGGAGCAGCGGGCGGCAGGAGAGGTCTGCGCGCCATGTGGGACCCTCCTCCAGTGGCGGGGGAGCAGCCGGGGATCGAACCGGCACTGCAGAGGCTGCGGGCATCTTTGCAACCCAGTGCTCAACCGCTGCACCACCGGGGAGGCCCTAATAATCTTAACGTTACCCAGAAATCCAATAGAACCCTTTGTGCCATGATAGCTACGCTAATGAAAGAACAACTGCCCCTGACCTTGGCTTTTCTGCATCAACATTGGATGAATGACCCATGTTGTGCCAAGAGAAAGATTTCCAGAGGAGCAGGGGGTGGGAGTGGGAGTGGAGTAGCAAGTTGAATTCCAAGACTGAGAGAACAGGTAACAACAGCAGCTGCCTCTTCTTCAACCTCTGCAGCAATCACCCAAACTAACCACGGCCAGTTCCAAGCACCATCTCAACTCTTCAAATGACCCTTTGCATGAGTTCAGAATCTGACTCACTGGCCACGGGCTCCCTCCCCTGACTCGAGTGGCTCTGAAAATTCCATGACTAAATACAGTTGCAAAATAAGCAAACAACATCCCAGGAGCAAAAGGGAGGGGGCTTAGAGACTTCTTTGTGTAATGAAAGAGCATAGATTTGGATCGAGGCTGTGTTCAAGTTAGCAATTCCATCCTTTCCCTAATACACCTTATTTCTCCCTGTTTTAGCCAACCCGGCTGGAGGCACAGCTAATAAATATTTGATCATAACATCTTTGCTGATGCATAGAAGAATAAATCTGCTTGTTCTACGAGTCTTCTCTTTGCATCCAGAGTCCTAATCCAGTGCTGCAGATCAATGGCTTTGGATGCACCTTCTCAGCATATGCAATTATTTTTCATCTTGAGGGACAAAAGCCTTTCACCAGTTAGTAATAATGGAATACCGCAGTGCATGCAAATAGTGTATGCCCCCCTCTCTGTTTCTGGCTATTTGTGGGGGTGGGGGTGGGTGGTGTTCATCTCCCACTAGGATTTACAACTGTGCTGTGGGCATATGTTGAATGTATTTATGGAGCTCAAGGGGTAATATCTCTTTGCCAGAACGTAGTTCTTATTAAAACAAACAACTAAGCATTCTGTTTTATTTTTCCTTCTCTCCTGGAATGAACACAGTTAACAAATCACTGATGCAAAAAACCATTTTCTGGAACCGTACAGCAAAATCACTTCCTTTCTAGCATCCTCTAACTTTAAAAAACAAAAGCACCCTTGCTTAAAAAAAAAAAAATCAAGTCCTGAATGAAGTTGATTTGAATTCTTTCATAGAAAGTTCAGTTCATTGAAAGCGTAACTTGATAAAAATTCCTCCTTGTTTTTTTCTACTCTTGGCCCACAGAGCTAAGTCCCAAAATCGCTCTGAATAGACAAAGGGTGTTTTATGAATGACACTCGTGATTAAGATGCACGTCTTTTGTCTCACTGCCCTGGCTTTCTTTTTGCTCCATGGGAAAGCTGATCTTTAACAAGAGATCCTCAATTGTCTCTCTTATTATTTTGGCTGAAGGCTTTCCCGGGTGAAGACTGCCTAGGAGGCCAGCTGCCCAGTTTCCAGCCAGCATCTGATGTCTTCCTCTTTGAACAGGGAAATTCAATCATGTGCTGATGCCTTCATTCCCTGATTCTTTTTTCCTAAGACACGTGCATGTGTGCACATGCAAATGCACGCACACACACACACACACACACACACACCTGATTATATAAGCAGGGGACTGCAATGACAGTGGGTCCTGAGAACACCTTATCCTGCCACACCCAGCTTCACCCAGCTAGCGGGGTCAGAAGCCATGGAAGTTTCCAAATAAGTAGGCAGCCTAGCCATTCAGTTTGGAATTTGTGTGCGTGTGTGTTATTCTTTAAAAGGCTAGACCAATGTTCCTTTTACTTAGAAGAAGAGGCAAAACAGCAATTTTACTTTAAGGTTCTTATGTTTGAGAAAAAATAAGAACTAAAGATGCTTCTTTGTAGTAAAGTGCTAATTCTGAATCATTTATATCTTTACTTTCAAGTCTAACATCTCGAAAGAAGTCATTCCAGCTTATATTTTTCAAAAAATGCCATCACATGCACTTAGGGAATGGGGAAGGACATTTTAAAATCTTTAAAATGAAAGTGGTATATTTTAAAATATCTAAGATGTTTGAGAATTTAGATATGATGCTAAATTACATTGTGGTAATTTAATTTTTGGATCATTGTTTTAATTTTTTTAAAGATTTATTTATTTATGCATACAAGCCCTGGGGTTCAGCCCAGAGATGTCGGGGGGAGGATATGAGAGGATCCACCAGAGACAGAGTGGAGAGCAGAACAGGCAGACTGACTGAAATACACTGCTGAGGGGCAGGCCCTGGCAGGCCAGGGGTATCGAACTCATGCTGCAGAGGCTGTGGACTGCTTCATAGTGTGGTGCTTAACCCCTTGCACCACCAGGGAGGCCCTGAATAATTGTTTTCAATCCCTTGGTTTTATTGACATTCCCTGGATTTGTGGTGGTCAGTCTATTAGTCGTTAAGAATGTGTTCTTTTAAATATTTGCACACCATACAACTGATAAGGGACTGCTATCAAAGATCTACAAAGAGTTTACACAACTCCACAAAAACAAAGCAAACAACCCAGTCAAAAAATGGGCAGAGGAGCTAAAAAGCCTCTTTTCCAAACAAGAAATGCAAATGGCCAACCGGTATACGAAAAAATGTTCACCATCACTTATCATCAGGGAAATGTAAATCAAAACCACAATGAAATACCACCTCACACCAGTAAGAATGGCTTAAGTTAATAAAACCGGCAACAACAAATGCTGGCGAGGATGTGGAGAAAAAGGAACCCTCTTACTCTGCTATAATGCAAATGGTCCAGCCACTATGGAAAGCTGTGTGGAGGACCCCCCGCAAATACTAAAAGTGGATCTACCATATGACCCAGCAATTCTACTTCTATGAATCTATCCAAAGGGCACAAAAACACTAATTTGGAAGGAAACCTGCACGCCTATGTTTACTGCAGCACTATTTACAATAGCCAAGATACGGAAACAACCCAAGTGCCCCCGAACAGATGAGTGGATCAAGAAGGTGTGGCCTGTATATACAAAGGAATACTACTCAGTCATCAAAAAGATAAACTCATGCCATTTGCAGCAACATGGATGTAGCTGGAAGGGATTATGCTAAATGAATTAAGTCAGAAGGAAAAAGATAAATATCAGCTGGTTTCACTTATATGTGGAATATAGGAAAACCGAACAAAGGGTCAAGAAAAAGACAAAATTTGCAAGCTGATCATAGATCTGAGGCATCCGGCAGGGGAGGAGAGAAAGGGGTCGAAACAAGGAAGGATACTGTTCATGGGTACTGTGGCGGTGAGAGAACTATGGAGCCTACACCTGAGGAGAGAAACCAAATATTGTACAAAATACAAACAATGATATAGGATGAAAAAAAAAAAAGGATATCTAAAGGATGTCTTCTTTTGTGATTATTTTTCTCTTGTGGTATTCCTCTTTTTTTTTTTATAATTTTGTCAGAGTTCTTTATACCTTGAGAATATATTCTTTGGACTAGATGCTGAAAACTTTATTATAATTTTTTACAAGTTGGGATTTATGTCTCTTTGGTACATGGCAAGCTCTGTGGCTAATCAAACTTATTAGGCACATTTTGTCCCTTGGAAGTCACACTCACTCACCCTATGTCGAGATTTTGGGTGTATTCACCTGTATTTTCCTTGTAGTTTTGTTCTTACACTTAATTTTTTTTAATATTTATTTATTTATGCATACAACAACTGGGGTACGGGCCAGAGATGTGGGAAGTGAGAGGATACACCAGAGACAGAGTGGGGAGCAGAACAGGCAGCCTGACTGAAATATACTGCTGAGGGGAGTAGCGGGCGAGACAGGAGAGGTCTGCTGTGCCATGTGGGTTGCTCCCTGGCCGCTGGGGATTGAACTCGTCCTGCAGAGGCTGCGGATTGCTTCATAGT